TGAGTATGTATGAATAATAATTATTCTGCTTGTTTATCCCTTTTTTAGATTTACTTTTATTTTTCAAATTTGTAAAAATTCACCTTTTTCTGTGTAAGAGCTGGTAACTAAAAATAAAAAATAAAAATAAGATTTACATTTTACTTATTTGTTTTTGATATATTTGTACATATTTATGAGGTGCATGTGAAATTTTGTTACATGCATAGAATGTGTAATGATCATGGTGTATTTTTTTTTTTTGATGTGCCACTGGATTTGATTTGCTAGTATTTTGTTGAGGATTTTTGCATTCGTGTTCATCAGGGATATTGGCCGATAGTTTCCATTTATTTTGTTGGATCCTTGTCTGGTTTTGGTATCAGAGTAATAATGCTAGTCTTGCAGAATTAGAGAGTTATAGAAAGTTCCCTCATCTTCAGTTTTTTGGAATAGTTTGAGGAGGATTGGTATTAGTTATTCTTTATACATTTGGTAGGATATTGCAGTAAATCCATCCAATCCTGGCTCTTTCTTTGTTGGAAGACTTTTTATTACTGACTCAATCTTGCTCCTCATTATTTGTCTGCTCAGGTTTTCTATTTTTTCCTAATTCAACTTAGTTCAAACTTGAACAAGTTTGAATCTTTATTGAAACTTAGTTCAAACAAGGTTGTATGTTTCCAGGAATTCATTTCCTCTAGGTTTTCCAGTTTGTTAGCATAAAAGTTTGTTAGCTGTTCGTAACAGTCTCAGATGATCTTTTCTTTCCTTGTGGTATCAGTTGTAATGTCTCCTTTTGCATTTCTGATTTCGCTTATTTGGAGCATCTCTCTTCTTTTCTTGGTTAGTCCAGCTAGTGATTTATCAATTGTTTTTGTCTCTTCCACACAATAAATCTCAATAAACGTTTAAAAACTGAAATCATACCAGGTATCTTCCTGGACCACAGTGGAATAAGACTAGAAATCAGTTCCAAGAGGAACTCTTGAAACTGTACAAATTAACATACTCCCGAACACATTTCTTTTTGATTGGGATCTGTTGCTGGAGAATTATTGTGTTTCTTTGGAGGTATCCTATTTCCTTGGTTTTTCATGTTTTCTGTATCCTTCCATTGATATCTGTGCATTTGATATAACAGTCACGTCTTCCAATTTTTAAATTTTGCTTTATGGGGGAGGATTTTTTTAAAAGATATGTCTATAGTGTTGGTTGGGTAGGGCACTTTGGCGTTGATTCTGGGTGCATGCAGTAGGATAGTTTTGAAACCTCCTTTGCAAAATTATAACAGTAAGAGAAATCTGACATGGCTGACTCTATCTTGCCTCTAGCCCCACAGGTTGGCTGCCCCAGCTCATTCCTGGGCGTAGGCAAAGTTAACTTTGGGAGAAGTTTATAGTTTGAGTGATAATAGTCCTTTCTCAAAATTAAACTGTACTTACAAAACTAATGAAAGACTGCCAAGTTAGGAGGATGAGAGGGGCTTGAATTCTAAATAATTACCAGCCATTATTTGGAAATCATAAGATTTGCAACTTCCCCAGTTACTTGCAGATAGCATCACTATTGTGGAACCTGAGGTTGGCCTTTTGAGATGTCTTTTCAGGTTTTTGCATTTCTGACAACTGGATGGCCGCACCTGGACCTGCCACACAATCCTGTGGCCCTCATCCCGGAACTGACCCAGCACAAGAGGGCAGCTTTGATTCCCTATGGTTTTATCTCTGACCCAACCAATCAGCATGTCCCCTACCCTACCTACCCCTACCAAACCATCTAACCCCTAACCTCCGAGCCTTCATGGAGATTGATCTGAGTAATAACTCCATTTCCCGTGTGGTGTGGCCGGCCTCAGATCAACTAAAATCTTGCTTTACTGCAATGACATGGTCTCAGTGAGTCAATTTTGTTTATGGAAGGGCAGGAAGACCCTTTGGGCAGTTACAGTGTTTGATTTCTTTGGCTTTAAACAGCATCCATGGTATCAGTGATTTCTTCTGTGGCTCAGAGTGTGGTTGTTAGTGGAGGCTGTGGTGAAGGTTTGCTGGGAACTAGGGCACCAGGTAGGCCAGTGTTTGGGCCCCAGTGGTGGCAGCAGTGAACTGAGCATGGGGGTCCTTGGACCCCATGATGTACACTGTGACTAGTATTAGGAAGCCCGGCAGGCTGCTGCTTGGGTCTCCAGAAGGCTTGCTCGGGTGCCAGGAATGGCAGTGGTGGGCCAGGTGGATTGATGGGTTCTTGAGTGTCTGGGCAGTGGATGTGGTGTGGACAATGGCAGTAGCAGTGGTGGGACAACCCTCTGGGACCCCAGTGGTCCTTGCTGGTGTTGGTGGTACCTAGCATGGGTTGGGCAAGTCAGTTGCCAGAGGTGTAGGTGGCATATGTGGGTGGGTGCCAGCTGTGGTGGTAGCAACAGGTTGTGTGGGCCTAACCTCAGATGCTGGGAGGAGTACTCATGTGCCACTGGTGGTGGGCTGGGCTCTGCGGTTCCCAGGCTCCTGGATGATGTGCTCAGGTATTGCAGGGGTTGTAGCCAGGCTGGGCAATGCCCTCAGGTTCCCCAGTGGTACAGGCAGATGCTGACTGCAGTGGGCCAGAGTGGAGTGACCCCAAGGCCATACGTTGGGCTGTAGCCTTTCTAGTGATGAAGGCAGAGTTGTTTTTTTCTGTTTTGTTTTGTTTTTTGAGATGAAGTCTCACTCTGCCCAAGCTGGAGTGCAGTGGTGCGATCTTGGCTCACTGCAACCTGTACCTCCCGGGTTCAAACGATTCTCCTGCCTCAGCCTCCTGAGTACCTGGGATTACATGCATCCGCCACCATGCCCGGCTACTTTTTATATTTTTAGTAGAGGTGGGGTTTCACTATATTGGCCAGGCTGGTCTTGAACTCCTGACCTTGTGATACACCCACCTCAGCCTCCCAAAGTGCTGGGATTACAGGCATGAGCCACTGCACCTGGCCTGTTTTTCTTTGTCATCCAGGCTTTGAAAATACATGGCTGCCCCTCTGCTGGGGCAGATTGCTACCTGTGGCTCCTGTTGCTGTCCAGGCAGCAGGCTCAGGCAGCTGCCCAGGATGCAGTCTGGTATGGGCTGAGCTCTCAAAATGGTGCTGTGCTGCAGCTGCTTAGGACTTTGGAGTTGGTGGGACCCAGCATGAGTTCTCTTTCTGGGGTAATGCCTTCACGTGGTTTCCAGGGAGCTCCCTGTGTTAGTCTCATGGCCGTGAAGGTCAAGGGACTCTCCCATGGCTAGCGTTGTAGGAGTCAGCAGTGGGAATATGAACTGCTGGAGATCTCTCAGTTACTCTTTTCCCTCACTAGGGGGCCTCCCCAGACTTTCAACTGATCCCAGCCAAACAGGTGGCCTTTCTTTCTCTCCTTCCTTGCTTTTGGTGCATCTGTTAGAGTAGGTAGTTAGGCAGGCAAGGGCAGGGCAGGAGAGGCACCCAACCCAGGAATGTCAGGTGACCGTCAGGTGATAGTCAGGTGGTTGTTAAACTGTCTCTGTAAAATAATAATCGGTTGCAGCTGGCGCCAGGGACCAGCAGGCTCCTAGTAGACAATACCTGAAGCTGGTGATCATCAGCTTCTCAATAAAATCTCAGGAGTTGGGTGAGCAGGCTCAAGCATGTGCACTAAGAGGCAAAATGGAGGCGTTTAACTGATACCTGATTTTCCTCTGGGAACATTTGACTGGTAAGGAAAAAAAGCCTCAAATGAGCATATGCACAACTTTAGTAAACCCATGGTGCGTGTGCCCCCACCCCGCCGTCTAACCCCGCCAAATGCTGGCAGGCCATTGTGCGTGCAGACAGCTCACCCCAAGGGAAAATCAAGGGAGGAGAGATGCAAATTCCAGAACCACACCAATGTATATATACCCCAAGTCAAAGGCTGAATAGGGCACTTGGATCTCTTGAGTCGCGTGCTTGGCCCTTTTTCAAGGGTACTTTACTTCCTTTCATTCCTGCACTAAAACTTTTAAATAAACGTTCACTCCTGCTCTAAAACTTGCTGCCTTGGTCTCTCCCTCTGCCTTATGCCCCTTGGCCAAATTCTTTCCTTAGAGGAGGCAACAATCAAGTTGCTGCAGACCCCTGTGGATTCACCACTGGTAACGCCTCCCATCACTTCTCTGTTGAATTCTAGTATTCTCTTGTAAGTTCCAAGAGTGATTACCTACTCACTCTCTGTGGTTCCTGTCTGTGGAAGAAGCAAGTACCAGACACATCTAGTCAGCCATCTTGAAGCCCCCCCCAGGACTCAGCTTATGTTATCTTTTAATGTTAAGATAATAACTGGAGTAGTTTTTTTTAAAGTGGGTTTAATGTATATGCTATTTTGATTTTTGAATTTTTTTTTTTTTTTTGTAAGAGTCTTACTCTGTCACCCAGGCTGGAATGCAGTGGCGCAATCCTGGCTTGCTGCAACCTCCACCTCTCAGGTTCAAGCAATTCTCCAGCCTCATCCTCTCAAGTAGCTGGGACTACAGGCATGCACCACCACACCCGGCTAATTTTTTGTATTTTTAGTAGAGACAGAGTTTCACAGTCTTGGCCAGGCTAATCTCAAACTCCAGACCTCAGGTGATCTGCCTATCTTGGCCTCCTAAGAAAATAGTTTTTAATTGGATTGTAAGTCCATCAATATTATGTCAATTTATTGATTGAGATATAAAAATTTTAAGTAAGTATATAGCTATTCAAGTGCCCCCTTTCACTCTCTAAAGGGTACCAGTTTGGACAACAAATTACATGTTCATCCTTATTATAGCTGAAGCAGTAAGTGTCTTAAACCATTGTCTATTCCCTAATGAAAACTGGAAGAAACCAGGGCATCAATCTTTTCATGTTTTTGATAGGTGTGCATTAGAGATGTTCGTGGTAGGGAGAGTTAGAACAAAAAGGAGTCAACAAGGAGATAAAGAAGGAGGATTCATAAACATTTCTCCACATGTAAGAAACAAAGTTTTCATTAAGAGATAAGTATATTGAGCTACTGTATGGATCTTACCTCTAAATTCATCAGCAAGATTCTTGGAACTTGGATTCTGAAATTTGACATACTTATCTGTCCACCACGTAAGTCCACTCTTTAGCATCGGCACTTTGATTTGTACAGATGAATTAATGTTGTGTGAAAGAATTATGGTGTCTGTAAGGAAATTAAAAATTATGTTAGAGATGCAGTCTAGCAATTTTGCCACCCTTTGAAATGCAGAACCAGACACAGCTGACAAATCAGGGATTTTGCAGACTCTCAACACGCCTACATGCCATGGATGCTGGAATCACAAGACCATTCTTTTTCCTGCCAAAATTGAGCCAATTATTGAGAAATACCCTTAAGCTCCATTTAACTCATGTTCCTTGACTATTCCTTCAGATGTTTGGCAAGAGAGGAATTATTTGCAAATGACATACTGTAAGTCAGTGCTCTGACTTAGTCCAGATGATGTTTACAGAATTAAAATGGAACAAAACAAAAAACTGCCAGTTAGCTTCAGAGGTGAATTTCTGGACATTTAGGTTGTTACACACTCATGAAAGGGTACACCATGGAGATAGGAAAAGTCACCTACCATTGAACATGCTGTTGGCAATAGCACCACAAGGAACGATGGGGGTCTTATTGTCGGACATTTTAAATGGGGCACAGTCCTCAACAGCCTGGATGCAAGAGGATACAGCAATGAGACATGCTTTTGGTAAACTCTCTTAGAATGTTAAAAGTGAGAGAGAACATTGGCAATGTAAATCACCCCCCAATGATTTACTGGCAGTGACTAAGATTACAGACTGCTGCGTGGTTTTCCTAGGCTTCTGGTTCACTTAGACTGGGAAATTTTTGTGTTTTGGAGATACGTATGTGTGTGGATGTGTGTCTCTGTGTTTTTTCCTCATTAATGATACATAGCATACCTAAAATGTCTGCAAGAAGGAACTTTACCTTACTGGCTGTGCTATATATCACGCTAAACCTATAATGAAGTACATTTTTAAAACCTCTTTTTATTGACATGTAGCTTATTTTATTTTAGTGGTTAAAACAGTAACAACTTACTTTTCACTTGTATCACTATCTAATGGGGTTGTGGAGGTGGGAGGGACTTTGTTCCACACAATCACTCAGGGCCTCGGCAATATTGAAGTATTACATTCAGAAAAGTATAAAAATCATGAGTCTACAACTAGATGACTTATCACAGGGAATCCATCCACACAACTACCAAATACATTTTTAAAAGAGTGGTTGCTAAAAATCACTTTAGTATAATAATGTTGCTATGGAAAAAAATTTCATTCTAGCTTTTCTTACACACGCTGAGTATCATCTACCAAGAGTAAAAATGTATAATCATAGGTTTTAAAAGGTATTCGATTAAAGCAAAAGGCTTTTACTCAATCGAATAGAGCCTAATTTCCTTAAAGTAGGCTGGATTGAAAGCCCCAATGACAGGAAGGACAATGGTAGTTAGGCTCAGCCACGCTGAGACTAACTACTCAAGGTTGCTATCAAAATGGTGCATGAAAGGATCACCATTCAGTTGGACAAGATTCACATCACTGCTCTAAAGAGGGAAAGTGCTACTTTTCAATAACAGTTATCCTGAATACCCAGTCCCTTCAGTTTACACAAGAATGAAATCAGCATTTCTGTTTTGTAGCATTTGAGTTTATCTTCCGTCTCTTCTTTTAGACTGAAAAATCCACTTGGTTTAAAAAAAAGAAAGAATATTATACCAGATTAAATCAAGCCTTACTTTTACATCTTTGCCCACCAGTTGTCTATTACTTCTGGATCGAACATATCGATACAGGTTCTGATAGAAGCCATACAATTTGTAGTACATATAAACATTACCCTGTGTGGAAGAAAAGAAGTAAGAGGAGAGTAAGAAAAATTAACTGGAATATTAATAAACATGGACAGGAAATTTTAAAATAAAAGCACAGAAAAAAATTGATAGAAACTCAAAGCCTATTTATGGGAAGTAGAAACCCAATAAATCATTTAAAAAAAATCAATTTTGGGACTGGGCACAGTGGCTCACGCCTATAATCCCAGTGCTTTGGGAGGCCAAGGCAGGAGAATCACTTGAGGCCAGGGGTTTGAGACCAGGCTGGGCAATGTAGCAAAACCCTGTCTCTACAGTAAAAGAAAATAAGAAAAATTAGGCCGGTGTGGCATGTGCCTATAGTTCCAGCTACTCCAGAGGCTGAGGAGAGGATCCTTTGAGCCCAGAAATTCAAAGTTACAGTGAGCTATGATCGTGTCATTATACTCTAGCCTGGGTGACAGACTGAGACCCTATCTCAAAAAAAAAAAAAAGAAAAAAATTACAGTGGGAAATCCTGGTCTATACAGAATTGTTGGAATAACTAAATAACTATTTTTGCTTGTTTTTTTAAGGGCTGCTACATTCTTTTCTTTGAAAAATTTTTATAATCAAGCATATTTTCAATACATAAAATTTGGTTTTATAAATGTCGTCATTTCCCAGAAATATGAGGAAAAATGCTTTGCTTAGAGGTTGTGGTTGACAGCAAAAATCACGTGATTTTACAGCAAATCCATGAAAAAGAATTTAAAATTCAAGCCATTGAGCATATTTAGGTGCATCTGTACACTGAGCCTGTGAAAGGCATGAGACTGGAAGCTCCTTGCAGTCCCACTCTAGGAATTTGTTTATTTATTTATTTATTTATTTTTAATTTATTTTTTTTTGAGATGGAGTCTCGCTCTGCCGCCCAGGCTGGAGTGCAGTGGCGCCATCTTGGCTCACTGCAAGCTCTGCCTCCTGGGTTCATGCTATTCTCCTGCCTCAGCCTCCCAAGCAGCTGGGACCACAGGTACCCGCCACCGTACCCTGCTAATTTTTTGTATTTTTAGTAGAAACGGGGTTTCACTGCCTTAGCCAGGATGGTCTCCATCTCCTGATCTCGTGATCCACCAGCCTCAGCCTCCCAAAGTGCTGGGATTACAGGCGTGAGTCACCACTCCCGGCCTAGAATTTTTGTTTTTTTAAATCTCTAGGATCTAATGCAGTACCTGGCACATAATACTTGCTTAAGAAATGGTGAACTATTTGTTATAGAGAAAAAGATGGAATAATTCACTGATCCAAAAGAAAGAAGGTGATTTTCACCCTAGCAATAAGTAGCCTTGTTGTCAGGAGAGAGATGTCTTTCATGTATGCTGCCATGTAAGTAAGGCTGCCCAGCCACTACCTACCACCATGGTTCTACCTTTATGGTAATATATTAAGGTCCTGGAAATTCTCCAGACAGACTTGATACAGATTTTATTAATAGCACATATGGAAATATCCATATGGATTTAACATATTCATAGATTTTACTAACAGCACATATAGAAATGTCCCATGTAGCTGTTTAAAATGAATACACTCCATACCTCCAAAATAATGAAGACCTGAATCCAAAAATATAAAAGCCTAACTTTTATTAAGTGCTTCCCATGTGTTAGGTGCTATATTCAGTGCTAGAAGTACAAAAGCATTCCTTTATAAGTCCCTAAGTCCATTGATTCTTTTACCCTGTGCAAAAACAGCATTTTGGAAAGGCTTTGGCCTTATTTCCTAAGGACCTTAAGAGCATCTTCTTTAAGATGAGTATGGAAAATGGGAGGTGGTACCCATGGTAAACAGGGAAGGAAAGTCATGGTAAATGTGGCCAGCTTTAGAATGCAAGAAAGGCTGAAGAGCTCAGTCACTTGTAAGAGAATAATTTCTGGAACACTGAAAAAGGAGATGCTGGGCCATGGCGAAGAAGCAGGCTGCATCGTACTCAACAGGGAGTGTTGGCATGAAGGCAAGCAAGCCAGGCTTAGTGGGAAGGACCCATTAACGTTTCCTCATCCAAAGCAGGAACCTCTATTGTTGACCCATGACGATAGAAAATATGAAATCCACAGAATGGAACTTACCATACATTTTCTTGGAAGCTAAAAAGAGAATTCTACTTAATCAGAGTTATATGTTCACATAAATGACAAAATAAACAGGCACAGAATACTCGGCACACTAGGGACTGGGGCGTTTCCATAACCTCTTTTCAGTGATTCTTTGTCCAAGATTTAGCTGAACGAGGCCTCCAAGATCATCTTCTTGATGGTCCCTGGAGGCACAATTCACTTTATGGTGTTTCTTCTCTTTAAATTCAGTGGCACTTGGTGCAGGGTTTCTTTGCTTATTTTAAGACAGAGTCTTGCGTGGATTCATTGCTGTGGTTCCCCAGTGTCATGCCTGGTAGCTGCCGAGCTGAAGGCCCTGTGATTGCTCTAAGTAGTTTAGTTGGGTTTTTATGAGAAGGCTCTGCCTGAAGGGAATGGTTAGCAGCTGGTAGCACTTCATTTGCTGTTTTAGTTTTGAAGGACACTGACAGATGGGAATTGAAGCCCTTTTGGATTTTTTTTTTTTTTCCAAAAACTTTAGCATTCTGAGCCCTCAAGACAAAAGGAGAGAGGAAAGAAGAAAGGAAGGAAGGAGGGTAGTGAGAGAGGGTGGAGAGAGTGAGGGAGGAAGGGCCAAGACTGCAATGCATTCTTAAAGTTTCAGCAAGGCTGACAGGAAATCCCCAAAGACACCCATCAGAAGAGTCCCCACTCCCAGGAAAGAACCTACCTCGATGTTCCTGCTGTGCTCAGCCACTGGCTGAGGTGGCCGTGGAAGCATGACCTTGGTGCAAACACACAGTGATTTCAGAGCACAGCAGCTGGTGATATCCCTCAATTACACTCCCTGCAGTAGATCTGAGAGGAGCCTTTTCATGGCCTTCACAGTCTTACTTGTTAGTCAAGACTTAATCAAATGAAAAATTTGATTTCCTTCAACTCTTCAAATGTACTTTAAGGTCCTGTTCTGTTTCTGGACTCTGCACCTTTCCCCCTGCAGCATCCTCCACACGGACCCGGTCCCCCATCCTTCCCCTTCATAAGTGACTCTACATGGGCTGAATCTAGGTACAGGGCGGCCTTCTCCTGAGCTGCTCACTGAGCATTCTACCTCAAGCCCTGCTCCCACCTCAAATTCAGCTGGTTCCAAACCAGACTCATCACCTCCTGAAAAATATTCCTCACTTCTCTCCTCCCCTCCCTCCTTCCTTCTCTCTTCCCCTCCCCTCCCCTTTCTAAGGATCAGCACTCTCCCAACCTCCTCCTGCTCCTTCCCCATTTCCCCTCAGAGGCTTTGCCCAGTAAATCTCTCAGATGTCTAACCCTGTCTTGGCATCTGCTTCTCAGAGGACTTGACTAACATGAGACTTAAATCAACCCGTGAGTGGGGACTTCTCTCAGTATTTCTTTGGTATTTCTCACAGTGCCTGACAGCCAGACTGTTCCCTTGGGAATTAGGTAATTGCACATGTGGAATGACTTGGGGAGACCCAGGGAAGGTTTCCCCAAGTGTGTGACCCCTGACACCAACCTACTGTGTGACCTTAGCCAAGTTACTTCACCTCTTAGCCCATTAATTTTCTCACTATAAAATTCGTGGTTCAATTCAATGTAAATTCACACACAGTGCCTGTGCTGATATTTAGAGTAAAACCTGTTTGGTAGATAAGATTTATGTTACAAAGTTGGAAAGGTAAAGAATTGTGCAACTTAGAAACAAAGAAACAAAGGAGGAGAATAATACTCAAAAAGGAGGGAGGGGATATGAACTCAACACTCTTTCAGATTCACCACCACCATCCTGCTTTATTTTTTATATTTTCAGTTTTGGAAAGCATTTCATGGAAATTGTGAACTTACTTCTAAGTGTTACATAGGAATAGATCAGTGTAAAGTCAACTGAAGTTTCTTGAATTTCACCTACCATCATTTTTCCTGAAAGGTAAAAGGGAATAGAGCAGGTGCATTCTTTGTCAAAATTAGAGGCATTTTCCCGCAGTTTTGCACAATTTGCACATATTCTTGTGTAATTAATCTGTCAGGCAAGGAAAAAAATGATTAATTAAAAAGTTACATGGGTACATATCTTAAAATTCAAATCTGGAGTCCACCCAAGTCTCCGCCTGTCTGGGTCAGGCGCATAGTCTGGGAGATGAATGCGACAGCCCATGTGTAGGGCCAGTGTTTCTGGGGATGTTCAGGAGGTGTGGGCCTTCCCACAGTCTTTTATCTGGGGACTGGCAGCATTTTGCCACTGGCCCAGAGTTCAGTGTTTCTGTTGCATATTTATATAACCTGTTGTGATGAAGCTTTACCCCCGATCATAAAGAGGTGTCAGTTGCTAGGAAGGTGTTAGTCAATGACTCATGAGAACTAGGCTTACAGCCTGAGTCTAATCAACTTTATGGGGAAGTCACTTCACTGTTTTTCCATTCTATTGTATGGAAAATATTTATACTAGTGAATTATTCTACATGGCATCCAGAGGAAGTTATTAAAAATGACCAAACAGAAAAAGAAGTGTTTCCAAAATGTAAGATTATTGACATATGTTGAATTATTCTGGTCCTAAAATGCTGTTGCATTCTGTTTTTTAAAAGTAAAATTCTGTGAAAAATAGTTTAATGGACTCTTTAAAAAAAGGAAAAAAAAAAAAAGGGTAGTATGTCCCAAATGGGTGGCTCCTGTGAGCTCTGGCTGAGGCACTGAGTTCTGTGAAGATGCAGCTAGAAGAGTAAGGAGGAGAGGCTCCGGAGGGTGTGCACGGGGCTGTACTTCTGCCTGATCTGCAAGAATGTTCATCTCAGGGGCCCTGGGGCTGTCCTGGGTGCTGCAGTGGGCTGCTTCTGCCTTGCCCTCACTGTGTTGAGGAGTGATTAGACGATTATGGGAGTGTGAGGAGCAGGGAAGCAAGGGAGTGGCTTTCTCCTTGGTAAGGTGCTAGTAGAAGTTAGGATTCCTTTGAAGGGAAAACAAGGAAGACAGAAGGAATTTTGCATACTTGTAAAGCTACTAAGGGTTTTGAAGCCCAAAGGTGAAGTGTGAACACTAAATTGAAGATTAGTGAAAATGCTACACTTCATTGTACTTAGATGCTTATATGTAGCTAAATCATTCTTTAAATACACAGCAAGACTTGAACTATTATTTTGAAAATATTTATGCCATTTCTGTTGGTGGACTACATTTCAATTAATAAAAAGCATTAAAGAACAGGGCCGTATCCCAATGGAGAGACAGCATACTGAATGGTGTCTGAGGAAACTGGGGTTCTAGTTCAGCCAATCTCTGACCTTGAGTTAAGTGCTTAACCTCTAGGGCCCACATTTTGCCCATCAACATCATTTCATGCAGCAATTAATTGATCTGTGAGGTCACTGTAGTAGTATACATGCTACTTCATGAATTCCTCTTGTGAGTTCTGTCAATGTAGTACTCAAGAAAATATTTCATGATCAAAGAATTTTTGAGTAGTTGATATCCATGGTGCTTTTTTGCCTAAAAAATATCCCTTATCTATTGTCTATGCAATGACAGTATCCTCAGTTTGCTGCTTGAGTGGACTTGTACATGAATAGCTATGAGATGGAGCAATGATCAGTCTGCTTCTCATAGAATTTTGGAGAGGCAGAAATTATTCTTGTTTAAAGTGAACTGCAGAGAGAGAACATCCTTGTGCCCCAGGGCTAAGTGAGAAGAAAGGCTCAGAAGTCTTTTCTATGATGTCTGTGCCTGATCACATTGGCCTGGAGTGTGTACTCTATATTATCACCCAATAAAATGAAACACTGGTTTTTGAGTATAAAAGTGAAGTGTCAGAAGCAGTCCTATCTGAAGCAACTAAAGAAACAAAGTTAGTTGGAAAGTGCCTGTAGATTTCATGAGATAAAAGCATTCTATTTGTGGAGTGGCCATGGCCAATAGTTGGTATGGAATGAGGTCACCTTCTCATGCATGGGTACCTCTTAGTGAAGGCTGCACTCCACAATGGGTGGGTGGGGGGCAGGGTTGCAAGGGAGGAAGAAAGAATGACATGGGAAGGAAGAACCAGAATGAAAGGGATTGGTGAGGAAGAAAGTAGAAAAGTAAATTGCATGAACTCTGTGGAAATGGACATCAACGTTGTAAGCCCATTCCTTTGCTATCCCCTTCAGCAAGGTAAGGTTCATCTCCTCCTGCCATTTTGCCTTTGCCACATGGTGGAGGCTGGTGGGGGTTTACATGTAACACTGGAGGTCTTGCTGTCATTTAATTCCCAGGGAGATAAGCTCTGGGAGCTGGAAGTGGGGAGGAAAAAATGTTAAGTAGAGAGGCAACAGAGCAGTGTGCTTTGGGAGGAGGAGTAGAGCCTGAAAAGACATTTTCCTCTTTGGGTTCTGCACTATCTGCCCTAGTCCATTCTTTCAATAAGTGTGTGCCTATCACATACTGGGCAATGTGCAAGGAAGCGGGTGGTGATGCAGTAAACAGCCAGCCATAGCTAAGCTCTCTGTTCTTACTACATACTATTTTACCTATTCTGTTCTCAGCTCATTGAGGGCACTAATCCATTCTTCCTCATCTTACTCTTCTGCATAGTTAACAGAACCCTTAGGCACCTTCAGATACTCATAAATTTTATTTTATTTTGAGATGGAGTCTCGCTGTGTCACCCAGGCTGGAGTGCGGAGGTGCAATCTTTGTTCACTGCAACCTCTGCCTCCCAGGTTCAAGTGATTCTCCTGCCTCAGCCTCCTAAGTAGCTGGAATTACAGGCATGCACCACCACGCTTGGCTAATTTTTGTATTTTTAGTAGAGACAGGATTTCACCATGTTGGCCAGACTGGTCTTGAACTCCTGACCTCAGGTGATCCACCCGCCTTAGCCTTCCAAAGTGCTGGGATTACAGGCGTGAGCCACCGCACCCAGCTGACACTCAAAAATTGTAAACTAATGTTGGTAGACTTGGCCTTCATCTTAATTTTGCCAGTAGCCATGTGGGGAGAGGGAATAGATCAGCTTTCCATGGTTACTTCTTTCAGAGTGGAGCTCATGTGGTCTGGGATGTCCAGAAATCTGCCTGGAGTTGATATGGATGAAACATATACTTAATTCATTAGATTGAATATGGGCATGGCCAATCAAGCCTTAGACTAGCTCTTGTCTTCCCTCTCTAGACCAGCTTCGGGATTCTCATCCTCAAACAGCTTGTTAAATTGGCAAAAGGCTTGTTCCTGAGAGGTCTGCCCTCAGCATCAGCTTTTCTCACTCTGAGTAGAACTTAGTTTTGCTAAATATCCTCAAGATGCCAGAAAGACTTGGGCTTTTGTCTTTCCTGGATCTCAGAGGGAGTTCATCTGCAAAGGGAAAGACACAATGCTTGAAAGTGGGGCAGTATTGAAGATCTGTATCTTGGACACTTTGCTCTTTTTATCAACATGACTCATGGGTCTCTAGTAGTCATGTGGCCTTGACTCTTCTTCTGCCTCTATTAGTCACTTGCTGTCTTCCCTGCCAGCATAAGAAAAGAGCTTCAGCCAGGCGCGGTGGCTCACGCCTGTAATCCCAGCACTTCAGGAGACCGAGGTAGGTGGATCATGAGGTCAGGAGTTCAAGACCAGCCTGGCCAACATGGTGAAATCCCATCTCTAATAAAAATACAAAAAAATTAGCCAGGTGTGGTGGCAGGTGCCTGTAATCCCAGCTACTAGGGAGGCTGAGGCAGTAGAATTGCTTGAACACGGGAGGTGGAGGTTGCAGTGAGCCAAGGCTGTGCCACTGCACGGCAACCTGGGTAACAGAGCAAGACTCCATCTCAAAAAAAAGAAAAAAAAAAAAGCTTCTAATTTTGTCAGTCCCTTGTACACAAATATGTCTGAGCTCACTGGCATGAGAGTAACTGCCCTCAAGAGGGAGCAGGGATGAACGAAGCCACTCTACACGGACTCTGTCACCATCTGTGACTGCCAGCAGAAAGAGGGATGTTCCCGTCTTATACAGACGCTCTTGAGGGGCTGTGTTCTCAAACTGACCATACTCACGTGTGGTGCCAAAGCTGAACATTCTCAGAAACTGCATTCAGAATGTAAGATGGGACAAACCTCTATTTCCTGAGTGCTCCTTGCAGACAATATAAGGATGATGCCCATACAAAGGCAGAATATTCCTGTTGTGAAAAAGACAAAGAGGACTCTCCTGGCCGTGAAATACAGCCGGTGGGCGGGTAACTCCTGCTGCTTCAGGGCAGAGTTGTCTGGCAATCTGGACAGGCAATGCTGTGGTGTCTCCTCCATTTTGGTCCTGCAGATACTTTTGGGACATTTAGAACATTTTTACTCATAGTCATACCACATAATGGTAATGTGAAATGAATTATGTGAACCCTTCCTTTGAAGTTGCAAAGTCTTTCTGCTTCCTGCATTATTCCTTAACCAGACCTGGTATTTAACGGGAGCTCAGTTCTCTCCCACCAGCCATTACTGAGTATAACTGACTTAGGCTTAAAAAGGTTCTTGTGCTAAATGTCATGCCTAGGATGGATAGTCCCCGGCAAGGTCTGCAGAAACCAACATCTGGTGACACTAGGAAGCAATCACGATGGGCTATTTCTGGGATTTGGTGAGTAATTCAAGGCAAGCCCTTCCTGAGAGGTGGAAATGGATTTATCTTTAGGAACTTGCCTAGATCCTTGGAGATTAATACAAAAAAATAAAAGTTAGGGCTGTCAGCTTTTCTCCAAATGTGGCTGTGGCTTAACATGAATATAAACTAAATTGGAAAAATGCTCTCAGATCATAGCTAACTTTGCTATTTGTGATAATGAGGAAGAGAGCAGCAAACAGGGAATTGTAGAACACAGATGTCTCATTTCAGCAGCTTCCAATTTTTTTTCATCCGTAAAAAAGACTCTAGTAGAAAATGCAGATTAAAAACATCTCCTCCTAACCTCTCTTAAGTGCATGCTTTGGAGTAGCCTGAATGAGGCAAGAGAAAGGAAGAGGAAGATAATCAGTGAGATGTTCAACATTGAAGTACAGTATTAGGTCTGGTTTTGGGTTTTTTCCCTTGTTAGAAATCCACTAACATTATTTTCCTTAGGCCATTAGTAATTAATAATTACTTTTTTTAAAACTGGCATTTAAGATTTAGAATTAGAATTTTTAAAATTAGGAAGCATGTGAATTTCTAATCTAATCTTCCCTTTTAATTTACATTAGACAGAGAAGCCATCCTGGACTATTTTTGTATCAAAGAAAGTAATGACTTTGGCAAATGTACCTGGTTTGAAAGAATACAAAATTGATGCAAATGCTTACATTAGGAAGTTTCCAATTCAGAGTTAAACCTTTCCACTTACAAACTGTGTAAAGAGCAAAATACCAATGGGAAATTTTCAGCATGACATTTGAATCTAATTTGGAGGTGGCAACTAGTACGGTTGTTGGTGTCAGACGGCCTTGTGTGAGAAGATGGCAGTGAACACTTCTCGTTAACATTTACCATTTGTTTTACTAAATAAACATGGTCAAGAGCTTGGGTTTAAAAGGCAGTAAAAAGCTATGAGATTAGATTATAAGAACAGGGTTGACCTACACAACATTGGGGTATGTTTGTGATTCAAATACTTATTCCAACATTGGATTGGATGGGATTATATTACATAATGCCTAGCAAGAGGGTAATTACAGCAAAAAACCAATGAGAATAGTATTTCTTAGACAGTTTATAAAACAACAAAACCAACTAACCCAAATCCCAGACTAAAAGGAGCTTCACAGGTGGTGTAGTACTCAGGGTTCACCACAGAAACAGAACCAGTAGGAGATTATATGACCATATGTGTATATTATAAGGAATTGGCTCACATGATTATGGAGGCTGACAAGCCCAAAATCTGCAGAGCTGATGTCCCAATGCAAGTCTGAAGGCCAACAGGCTGCCATAGAACCAGGAAGAGCCAATGTTTCAGTTAGAAGGCAGTCAGGTAGAATTCTCTTGGGGGGTTGGGGAGAGTCAGTCTTTTGTTCTATTCAGGCCTTCAACTGACAGGACGAGGCCCTCTCACATTATGAAGGGCAATCCTCTTTGCTCAGGTCTACCAATTTAAATGTTAATCTCATGCAAATATACCATCACAGAACACCCAGAATAATGTTTAACCAATATCTGGATATCCTATGGCCTAGCCAAGTTGCCACATTAAAATTAGCCATCACAGGTAATAAGTACAAATATTTCTGGGACAATATTCTTGAGAGACAGCTAGATATACATTCTCCAGGTACTTTTATATTCATCTATTTCCCTCTTCTAAATAAATCTACTTTCAATGTGCAAATATACCTTATATGCATTGCCTTTCGATATTTCCAGAACAGGGTTCTTTTTCTCAGCACTATTGACATCTTGGGCCAGATGTTTCTTTGTTGTGAAGGCTGTCCTGTAAGATTGTAAAATGTTTAGTTGCATCCCCGGCCTCTATTGCCTATGTTTGAGAATCACTGTTCTAGATTGATACCAATACAGCAATTTGTTAACAGCAGTTATACTGTGGTATCACTAGAAATGTCAAAGTCTAGGTGCAGTGGCTCATGCCTGTAATCCCACCACTTTGGGAGGCTGAGGTGGGAGGATCACTTGAGCCCAGGAGTTTGAGGCTGCAGTGACCTATGATGGCACCACTGCACTTCAGCTTGGGAGACAGAGCAAGATCCCATCTCTTTTTTTTTTAAAAAAAGGAAAAAAAGGAAAATTTTGAAGTGATTTCTAACTTGTCTTCATTTAAATAGCCTTCTCAGGCATTAGCAGACATTTGCATATTTGGGGTTGCCTTATATTTCATTGTCTTTCCTATTAACTGCTGGGATGAAAATATATATGCTAAATATAAAAATATATATTAAATATACACATACATTATATGGATATACACATGTAATATTCATGATAGTCTCATGTTTTGGTGAATTCATAGCAGCTTGGCAGATTGGTCTGAATTCTGACAGCACAGACTGCAGTGTCTTAATTTGCAGATCTCTCCTCTGATAATAATCATACCTGATGGCTTTTTTTCCCCATATTAATCTAGGACATGTCACTTGACAGGAAGTTAAATGCCTCTATTGAGAAGGTATGTGGTCCATTTTCTTTCTTACCATCGCCCAAGAATATCTCACTTCTTAGGGCTAAAGGGATGAAAATGATAGAGTTAAGTTTAGCAATAGCTTAAATGTTCATTCTGTAGTAGTTGTTTTTCTTATAACTTATTGGGCTCTAGTGGGAATCCTGGAGAATGGAACCTACTCCTCTTTCCTCTGAGTCCCTCTCAGTATTCTGACTTTCGGACCACAGAGGTGCAAAGTGCATGAGCAACAAGTTGTTGGTGTGCAGGCCTGTGTGATTTCCTGGACTTTGACTTGCTAGCCTGTTAGGCTCATTTACAATTTCACAAAATTTGAATTTTATATATCAGTACTGGCATCTGTTTGCTTTCTTATCTCTTGTTTGCTGTATACGCTTCAGTCTCCAGATAAGTTGGGTGTCTTGAAGTGGATATGGGAGACCTGGGTCTGACTTCTGGTTCTGCTACTTAAACTAGTATATGTCCCTTCTCAGATTTAGTTTCATTGTCTATACAATGTGACTTATAACACTTTTTCCTTTGGGACTATTTCAGTGATTAAACATGACAGTTTATATATAAATGAAAGTTGTAAACACAGTGCTTGGCACAGAGTGGGTAACCAATCAACATTATTTAAATGAGTAAGAAAAGTAAGTGAATTTGAGCAACAAATAAAAAACAATACTATTACCTTATAACTCATAGAATAAAATGAGTGTCAACGAGTCCATACTGATGTAAATAAATAATTGAACAAACAAGTAAATGGGGGAAAAGAGATAATTATTTCTTAAAGAGGAATTCTGTAATAAATGTAACACATGTTGAAGGAATGAGAAAAATAGAAAAACCATTACAGTAATGGCTGTCGCAGGCAAGAAATACCAATGTTTGCTAGAATTAGCAGGCAAAAGTTTGAGGAAAAACAGATGTTTGTATAGCCTCAAAGTATTGCCCCTAAAATGGATATTAATTACAAAGGGAAAATAATAACTTTATAGTAGAAAAAACTGGCAGATACCACCTTAGCCAGGTGATTAAGGTTGACATCACTGGTAATAAGACATATTAACATTATGTACCCCTGATATAATAAATCCAGAAGGACATACTCGCTTCTGTAGTATTCTGGTCAAAAAATGCGTAACTTCAACCAAATCATGAGAACATTACAGACAAATACAAATTGAGGGACATTCTACAAAATACACGATGGATACTCTTCAAAAAAGTATGAAGGTCATGAAAGACAGGGAAATACTGAGGAACTGTCAGTGGTCTCAAGAAACCAAAGAGACACAACAACTAAGTAAGTGCAATGTGGGATCCTAAAATGAATCCTGGAATAGAACAAGGACATCAGTTTATTTGGAGAAATCCAAATAAACTCTGTAGTTTAGTTAATTATACGGTACCAGTGATAACTTCTTAGTTTTGATAACTCTATTATGGTTATACAAGAAGTTAACACTGGAAAAGCTCAGGGAAGGGGATATGGGAATTCTCCATTTTTTAAACTTTTCTATTAAGCCTGAAGTTTCAAAATAGAAAATTTAAAAAAAAAATAATGAGTAAGATAACTGTGATTATATTGTTGTCTTTTTATATGTTTACAAAGTGCCAAATTCACTTGATGCTCTTTCTACCACTGTCCTGCTGATGTGGTTTGGCTGTGTGTCCCCACCCAAATTTCATGTGGAACTGTAATTCCCAGTGTTGGGGGAGGGACCAGGTGGGAGGTGATTGGATCATGGGGGCGGATTTCCCCCTTGCTGTTCTCAGATAGTGAGTTCTCACGAGATCTGGTTGTTTAAAAGTGTGTAGCACTTCCCCCTTCACTCTCCTGCTGTCTTGTTGCCACGTGAAGATGTGCTTGCTTCCCTTTCATCTTCTGCCATGATTTTAAGTTTCCTGAGGCCTCCCCAGCCATCCTCCTTTACAGCCTGTGGAACTGGAAGTCAATTAAACCTCTTTTCATTATAAACTACCCAGTCTCAGGTAGTTCATCATAGCCATGTAAAAATGGAGGAATACAGAAAATTGGTACCAGAGAAGTGGGACATTGCTATAAAGATACCTAAAAATGTGGAAGCAACTTTGAAACTGGGTAATGGGCAGAAGTTGCAACAGTTTGGAGGGATCAGAAGAAGTCAGGAATATGAGGGAATGTTTGGAAACTCCTAGAGACTTGAACAGTTTTGACCAAAATGCTGATAGTGATATGGACAATGAAGTCCTGGCTGAGGTGTTCTCAGATGGAGATGAGGAACTTATCGGGAACTGGAGCAAAGGTCACTCTTGCTGTGCTTTAGCAAAGAGACTGGTGGCATTGTGCCCCTGCTTTAGGGATCTGTGTAACTTTGAACTTGGGAGAGATGACTTAGGGTATCTGGCAGAAGAAATTTCTAAGCAGCAAAGTGTTCAAGAGGTGGTGTGGCTGCTTCTAAAAGCCTATGCTCATTTGCATAAGGAAAGAGAACTTATATTTAAAAGCAAAGCAGAGCACAAAAGTTTGAAAATTTGCAGCCTGGCCATGTGGTAGAAAAGAAAAACCCATTTTCTGAGGAGAAATTCAAGCTAGCTGCAGAAGTTTGCACAAGAGGAGCTGAATATTAATAGCCAAAACAATGGAGAAAATGCCTCCAGGGCACTTCAGAGACCTTCGTGGCAGCATCCCCCTGCCACACAGGCTCAGAGGCCTAGGAGGGAAAAATGGTTTCGTGGGCTAGGCCCTGGGCCCAGCTGCTCTGTGTAGCCTTAGGACATGGCACCCTACTTCCCAGCTGCCCAGTTCCAGCTGTGGCTAAAAGGGGCCAAGGTACAGCTTGAACCATTGCTTCAGAGGGTGCAAGCCCCAAGCCTTGGCAGCTTCCACGTGCTATTGGGCTTATGGGTGTGCAGAAGGCAAGAGTTGAGGTTTGGGAGCTTCTACCTCAATTTCAGAGGATGTATGGAAATGCCTTGATGTCCAGGCAAAAGTCTGCCTCAGGGGTGAAGCCCTCATGGAGAGCCTCTATAGGGCAGTGCAGAGGGGAAATGTGGGGTTGGAGCCCCTACACAGTCCCCACTGGGGCACCGCCTAGTGGAGCTGTAAAAAGAGGGCCACCATCCTCCAGACCCCAGAATGGTAGATCCACTGACAGCTTACACTGTGTACCTGGATATGCTTAGGCACTCAACACTAGCCTGTGAAAGCAACCATGGGGACTGTACCCTGCAGAGCCACAGGGGCAGAGCTGCCTAAGGCCTTGGGAGCCCATTCCTTGCATCAGCGTGGCCTGGATATGAGACATGGAGTCAAAGATTATTTTGGAGCTTTAAGATTCAATGAGTGCCCTGCTGGGTTTTGGACTTGCATGGGGCCTTTAGCTCCTTTGTTTGGACCAGTTTCTCCCACTTGGAATGGGAACATTTACCCAATGCCTGTACCTCCATTGTATCTTGGAAGTAACTAACTTGTTTTTTATTTTACAGGCTCATAGGTGGAAGGAACTTGCCTTGTCTCAGATCAGACTTTGGAGTTGGACTTTTGAGTTAATGCTGGAATGAGTTAAGACTTTGGGGGACTGTTGGGAAGGCATGATTCTGTTTTGAAATGTGAGAAGGAAATGAAATTTGGAAGAGGCCAGGGTGGAATGATATGGTTTGGCTTTCTGTCTCCACCCAAATCTTATGTTGAATTATAATTCCCATTGTTGGGGGAGGGACCTGGTGGAAGGTGATTGGATCATGGGGGCAGATTTCCCCCTTGCTCTTAAGCTGTTCTCATGATACGGAGTGAGTTCTCACAAGATCTAGTCGTTTAAAAGTGTGTAGCATTTCCCCCTTCACTCTCTTGCTCTCTTGTCACCATGTGAAGATGTGCTTGTTTCCCCTTCACCTTCTGCTGTGATTGTAAGTTTCTTGAGGCCTCTCAGCCATGCCTCCTATACAGCCTGTGAAACTGTGAGTCAAACCTCTTTTCTTTATAATCTACCCAGTCTCAGGTAGTTATTTATAGCAATGTGAGAATGGACTAATATACTTGCCACCCTTTTTGCTGGGACCATGCCTCAGAGTTTACAAATCTGCTCCCCATGTACCATCTTCTGGAACCCTCAACACTGCTGTGAGACATTCCCACTTTGAGCTGATGAGATGGGGCTCAGAGAGGTAAGGGGCTTGCCTGAGGTCACCTAGCTGCTCTTTCCTTTCTCCTGAACAGTTACATCAGAAGCCAGTTGGTGACAGAAAAACTCGGTCTGCTCAACAAGGATCACACACAAGCCGGTGATACTTTATTATATAAGAGAGTTGTCAAAAGGACAGATTCATTCCTGTTTCAGAATCCCCACATTCCAGCGATCTATCTGCTGACACAGTTAACATAAACTATTTGCTGATATTTACTGAGTGCTTGCAATATATCAGAGTCATTAAATAAGATGCAACTTCTACTGTGAAGACTGGAATCTTCATTAAGACACAGACTTAGAAAAGGCCCAGTTTCAAAGATTCTGACTTGCACAGACTGAGCACTCCCATTTCCAGAAGTTCGAATACCTCCTTTCTTATCTAAATGAGAGAAAAGAAAAAAAAAAAAAAAAAAAAAAATTAAGATCAAGCAAAAATGGTCTTGGTGAATAAATTCAACCATCAGGACTCCCTGGTATTTACCCAGCTGTTATGGCCAGAATCAGAGGGGGCAAAAGTCCTAACATACATTTGATTCCGAGTTGAAATTTTAAAAATTATTATTATTATTTTGAGACAGAGTCCCATTCTGTTGCCCATGCTGGAGTGCAGTGGCGTGATCTTGGCTAACTGCTATCTCTGCCTCCCGGGTTCAAGTGATTCTCATGCTTCAGCCTTCTGAGTAGCTTGGATTAGAAGCATGTGCCACGATACCTAGCTAACTTTTGTATTTTTAGTAGAGACAGGGTTTTGCCATATTGGCCAGTCTGGTCTTGAGCTCTTGGCCTCAAGTGATCTGCCTGCCTTGGCCTCCCAAAGTGCTGGGATTACTGGTGTGAGTCACTGCGCCTGGCCTATTATTATTATTGTTTTGTAGAGACATGGTCTTGCTTTGTTGCCCAGGCTGGTCTCGAACTCCTGGCTTCAAGTAATCCTCCCACCTCAGCCTCCCAAAGGGCTAGGATTACAGGTGTGTGCCGCCATGCCTGGCAGAATTAAAATATTTATATAAATGAAAGAAGAGGTACTATATAAATGAAGGAAGAGGTACTATATAAAACATTAGGTTCATTAAAGTGCAGCCATTCAAAATAAAATGCTATATAAAGGTGTTTCAAGGACTCTACAGTGTGCTTTCTGTAAACAATATTATATACGATAGTTCAGTATAGGATTTTATTGCCTTAGGATAACTGCTAAGAATGACAGCAACAGAATAAAAATAACTATGGGTGAAAAGATGTTTTTGGATATTTCTCATTATTAGAATTAGAAACTTAGTAGATTAGTCAGATTTAATATTATAACTGAAATAATCAACTGTGGCCTCATGCCTGATATCAAAGTTGTTAAACCAGTTTTAAGAAACCAGTCAATTCAGGGGACAAAATGCACAACTGTGTATGTGTGTGTGCGTGTGTGTGTGTGTGTGTAACTGAGCAAACTGTTTTTTAACCTGAACTGATGTCTGAAATAACTCACTGATGAATTATAATCAGGTTTGGTCAACTGGAGATATAGTTTTATGTGATAAATTAATTCATTCAGCATGTTTGGAAGAGTATTTCCAAGCCTCTTTGATAGTTACTGCCATGATTTGTTCTTGGTTGGTGACTGGTAACCATTTTTTTTTTTTTTCTAACAGCTACTGTGAAGCATCAGGCTATATTGAAAAATTAGCCCCATGACAGCATGGTAGGTGGCAAGGTCAGTTTTTCACATTATGATGATAATGGATTGCTTTTAAAAATATATAATGAGCTAATACTGTGCCCATAAAGGCATTCAATCATTCAATTGTAATCCACTGAGACATCAAAAAATTTCCCCACCCCATGAAATCAAAATATCTTTCTAAATTAAGTAAGTGGGTTATTGGGGATGTGGAGATGCTGGCAAAGAGGCAAGTTTGTACCCCTGCTTCCCCAACCCGAGCCAAAAGTGCACATAGAAGAATGAAAGACAAAGACGAGTGTGTCTACAAAGAAAGGCACAGGAAAAGTGCAGGTCCTTCAGATCTTCTTGTTTCTCAAAATGGTCCCTAGTGAGGAGAGGCCATTGGTCATTTAAGGAGCAACAGAGCCGATTCCCATGAAACACATGGAAAGGATACAGTTATGTGGAAGGGGAGGAGGTGGCCTCTATAATTATAGTTAGCTCAGAGTTAGAAAAGATAGAAATCATTTCAAAATCTAAAATGTGCTGGCTCCTCATGTCAAAGACTTTATTACTGTGTTTAAACTCAAGTTCAAATAGAGAAAAAATGATTAAAAGCAACTGCTGGTTACGTGGTACCTCGGGAATGTCCATCATTCTTCTCAACTTCTGATCTCTCCAGTTCCAGTCAAAAACCAGAAATTTTAAGGGGTTCAAATTAAAGCCACCTGAAAGAGACAGGGAGAGAGTTGCTGCAGTAAAGACCTCATGACATAAGCTTATTAAAATGATTTTTTATTCTCCGGGTTACTTTTTGTCCCATATGTTGTCCTCTCCCCCAGTAACTCATCTCTGCACATTAAGTGCTGCCCTTCCCTGATGGAAACAAACGCAGCACTCTGAGACGTGCTCTTCTTATCCACTCATCACTGCTTCTGAGGAAAGCAGACAAGCTGCTCTTGCTAAGCTCCTCAAATGCTCACATGCTGGCCAAGCCTCCATTTCATGAAGACCCAGAGGCTGCAGTCTCATTCCTGACAGGCATTTGCTAAGCTAAATCCTGCAGTTTTGGGTAGTTGCCTTTCAGAGGAGTTGAGTCCACGGAGTCTGCATGGCTCTGAGGAGGTGAGTGGGGAGAAAGATGAGGACAGGGCTGGGTGGTTCATTTTAGGCAGAAAAGGAAGTCGAGATGGATAGGCTCTATTCAGCTATCCTTTGACGAGGTTGGTAAATCACTTAATTACTCCATTCACTGTTTTCCTGTCTGTCTACAAGACAATTATGGACTGTGAGGGCTGAAGGGGACCTCAGGGATTGTCTGGTCCTCAGATGTCTCACAGTTGGGCATACAGTCAGTTCTTGCCTCTGCTCCAAGCTGTTCCACGTCTCTCGTGTTAACAGTACCTACAGCCTTCCTCTCCCGCCGCACTTCCCCTCAGCTTTTCCTCATGGTATTTAAATATTTTCCTCTTTGCCCCTAATACTTGTTCATGCTGTTTATAATTCAAATGCCTGTTATTAAAAACATTCTGCAAAATTAAAATAAAAATGGTGAACTGGAAAAGACAATGAGTTGATCATCAGTCTTCCCTTAATATAACTGCTGGCAGGAAAGCAATAGGTACAGCCTCTCTGGAATGAAACTGAGCATAATATAACGGCTTCAAAATGCTTTTATTTGATCTCGAATTCCTGACCTCAAGTGATCTGCCCATCTCAGCATCTCAAAGTGCCGGGATTATAGGCGTGAACCACGGTGCCTGGCCAAAATGCTGGTATTTGATAAAATAAATTTCCTTCTATGACCAATCCCAGTGAAGCATCAGAAACATAAACATAGCTACTTGCAAAAATGATCATTGCCATATTATTTATAATAGCAAAAATTTAGAAACAACCCAAAGTCTACCATAATAGAATTGCAAAAAAATAAATTTACAATAGAATATTGTAAATAGCGTAGCTATACAAATGAAAAATTAAACGTGCTTCATGACAAGGAAAGTAAGTCCTCATGAGATATAGCAAGTGAAAAAGGTAGGTTATAAAGTTATGAAATGCAGTATAATCAATCTCTGCTGTATAAAAATAAACATACAAATGTATAGAAAAAAGACTGAAAGGAAATATATTCATTATTAACAAGAGATTGCCTCTAAAGTGACTTGTTTTCTTCTCTGTACATTTTTGCATTTTCCAAAGGCTCCTACAGTCAGAAAATCCCTTTCATTACTAAATTAAAACAATACAATTGTCTGTAATTGTATACATACCAATGTCATGGGATATTGTTCAATGTCTGAAAACTCTCCTTATATATAAACATATAAACATCTTATTAAGTCATAAACAGCTACATATGTGCTACTGGTGTCACTCTGTTAGATTTCCCATTTTTAGGGTGCTGGGACTATACTCTTTAAACACTTTGTATGTAGCCAAAGACCTGTGGTTAATGAATATTAAACCATTCATCCAATTAGAATCAGAAGTAAAAATTATTTTCATTAATATTGTAAAAATACATCGCCCTTTAAATGATTTTTCCACCTGAAATAAGCCTGCATATTGAGGTCTCACAACTCTGTAGAGATCTGATTTCAATAGTCTGGATAGCTTTGCCTTTTCTCTTCCTCTCTTTCTTTTAAATACAGAGAAGAGTAATCCTGTTGCATGGGGTGGGGGTTGGGGAAGTCTGGTGACACATAAAAAAATCTGGATGCCAGGAGGGACTGGTGGTGAATCTTTAGCTAAAAGCTGCTAGGGAGACAGGAACCAACCTGAGAGTCCATCCTTAGCTTCTCCTGATACCCAGTCAGTCACTCCCAAATCTGTGCCTCTTAGAAGGCCTTGATTGCCTCTTAACTTTCAAATGCCATAGGGTGTCCACAAGACAAAAATCCAAACTCCTCGGCTTACTGTTCAAGGGCTTTCCTCAAATTTCTTTCCAATTGCATCAACTGCTACTATAGCCCACAAAGTCTCCAAGCAAGAAAGTTGGTCTCTTTAATAAATAACTAATATTTGCTAAGTGTTTAGGGTGTGACAGTGCGCTGAGCTCTTTATTGGCATTTTGTTTTTATAACAAACCTTAAAGTAGCTACTATTACAATCCCGGTCATTCGTACAAAGAAACAGGCTGAGAAGGGTTAAGAAACTTGCCAAGGTCACAGAGCTGGTAAGTTGCTAGACCTAAGATTTGAATCTGGAGATCTGAGTCCATCACAGGGGCTCTTAACTGCAACACTGTTTTGCCTCCTCCTAATTCCTTGTGATATACCATGTGTATGTGCCTGCTTTCTGAGAATCTCACTGGGCTGTTCTCCCATTCATGGATGCTTCCCCTGACCCTCCCGGCCTATTTCAATCCTCTCCACACTTCAAAGATCAGTTAAAGACCCTGCTCTGCAGATTCAGGCCAGCATAACTATCTCTTTCTCATTTCAACTCCTGTACCACTTAGAAGTGCTCATTTGGCTCTTGGCATTTACTGCCTCATGCTATCGATCTCAGTCTATGTACATTTGGTTCTTCAGCTGGATCAGGAGCTCCCTGAGGAGAAAAGGCTGTAGAACCAGGAAAGCTGGGAGTGATAGACCTTGGGGAGGGCGACATAACCCTCTGAGCTTCAGTTCTCTCTCATAAGAAATAAAATGGCTGGCCTGTAAGGATGCTGTGAGTGCTAAATGAGATAACATATGTAAGGTTGTCAAGCATAGCACTGCGTACAAGTAGGAACTCAAAAGTGTTGTTTCCCTTCCTTGTCAGGGGCAGCCAAATTTGTTACTTGTTGGTATTTGTACAAAACTCTGCATATAGTGGGTTCAAGTAACCCTGGATGATTTTCATCTGGAGAGAAACAATAGTAGTTTTAGCTTTTGGTTGCTCCCTGGCAAATGACCATCTCTATAATGAGTTACTACACTGATGAGCACATTACTTTTAGGTATATAAAATAATCTGAGAATAGCTCCAGACAGTTATTTAAAAAAACCTCTATTAGATAATACATAAGTAATTTGGAAGTAAGTAATGAAAAGAAATCATTGAATCTGCCTGGTAGGTAGAAGAGGTAATAAGATAACTGGCAGGTTAGCAGGTTCTCAGGTTACTGGCTTTGAGAAAGTCGGCAAACTAGAAAAACCCACCAGTGGATATTGTCTAGAATACTTTCTGTAAAGCACTCAAAGAGAAACACATTTGGGAAGAACAATTATGGAATGCCCGCATTACATTCACGGAAACTACGTTTTGTTTTAGTATGTTTTATATACCAGCCCTCAAAATGGGAGTCTCCCCGAGACTCTGTGGAGTGAGCGGGAATGCTCAACTGAAGCAGTGGCCGCGCACTGGTGGAATGAAGGCCATGTGACCCACTAACCTGCTTGTAGCAGCTGGAATTGGACTCTGTTTAGGTGGGCACATGTACTTCAGTTTGCCACAGCCCTTATCATTCCCTAATGTGCTATACTTGCTGGTTGGCTTCAGAGATTAAAGGCTGAGTTTCCACTTCCTGAATTAACACAGAGGTCTGGTTTCTGTATATCCTGAATTTAGTTTCTGAGACTCACATGTGGGTAAGGCAAACTCCCAGCCCTGGGCAAGAGTATCACTGCCCTCTTGTCATACCTTGTTTAACAAGTTCTTTAATTCTCCCTGGAGTTCCTACACCCAGGTGCACCACACGCTTCTCCAGCAACTTCATCTGCTCCTGGACCTGTTCCAAGAGGAAAGAGAAGAAAAGGAAGTCATTAAGAAAGTGCAATTTTACACCAATTTCTTAACTTTATCTCAAAGTTAAATCTTCAAGGAATCAAAGGGTCAAGCCTCAGGGACGGAGCATGGCAGAAGCAACTGCTGTAGGGGGGAGGTAGATATGTGGAGGCATAGAATTTAAAAAACTAGAAAAGTGGTTAAATGTTACATAAGGAAGGAACTCAAAATACTTGCTAAGGAGATTAGGAGAAGAGGTTGAAAGGAAAAAGCTGAGGTCTGGGAGAGGCCTTTAGGGATCACAGGCCCTTGCTTACCTTTATGTGCTTTGCAAATAATTTTATAACTTTGCTGTCTCCTCTGAATGCTGTCATCGACCTAATGAAAAGAAGTAGGTGAATGCTTAAGAAAACCAACTCATTCTAGGCCACGATGACTACTTAAGTATTATGTCTTGCTTTATTCAAAGGATGTGTGCATATGTGTGTATATATGCACATATGTACACACAAATTCTGAGATTTGCAGGTTAGCCAGTATTTGCAATGAGAGTTGGGTAGCCTTTTATTCAGGTACTTATCTGTGTTGGCTTCACACTGCCATACACAAGGTCAACCTTACTTAGGTTTCCTTGATTACTGAAACACATGATCTGCCTTTCACTTGTAATACAGAATTCCAGTATTTCAGGTCCCTGGCAGAAAATTCATCTTCCAACTGTGCAGTGCAGTTCTCATACAAAATTTGGTTGCAAGAGATATCTTAGAGCGGTGATGTCAGCCCATTCTCTGTGGAGCCAAGGGCATCTACAAAGGTCTGCCTGTGGTGGCCATGAGGGAAGCCGGGGGATGAGATGGAAACGGGGAAGAAGGCGGGTTTCTATCCTTCTGTCAGAGCTGTCCTTTCTTATCTACTTTGTAGACTAAACTTCTCTATAAAATTTTATAGGTGGAAATGGAGCTTCAGCCAAAAGAAAGAAAAGAAGGAAGGAAAGAAGGGAAAGAGGAAGCAAAGAAGGAAGGAAAAAAAGTAAGAAGAAACCACTGACACAAAGGACTGGCGGAATTAAAGCTATGAGGGCGGGGGTTATTGTAAATGAGGTGATCTGGGAGGTGGGTGTGAGGACTGAGGGGCACTCAAGAGTGATGCCCCCCGTACAGGGGTCAACTAGTGCTCAGCTCTGCCAGTTATGAGGATGTGAGATTATGGGCCTAAGATCCTCTGATTTTTAGAGAAGCCAGAAATTTAGATTTTTATATGTGCAATCTGATTTTAAATATGGGCAAGTCATTCAAAAATTTTTTAGGTGCCAAATACTTGTGGGGTAAACTTAGCCTTTGAGTTGTCGCTTTACAGTCTCTGGCTTACACCAGTAGGACAGGCAGTCCACTTAGTTTCTAGGTAGTCAAGAAGCTAGATCTATCCACATCAATCCAGACCACCAGCTCTGAGGGTGGAGACGACGCTGGTGGCACCTGACATGCCTGCCTTTCTACCTCTACTGTGGCATCAGGTCCTCAGCTGGCACCAACAGCTGTTCTATAAACAGCCACATAACATTATCTGTCCAGGATTCTTGTTGTACAGATGACACTGAGAATGCTGCTATCACTATGTCACAGAGGGAAAAACTGTATTTCTCAGGGAACTTTTTTTTTTCTTCTTAAACCCACAGAATGCCATCAATCTGACAACTGATAGTATTTCCCAACAGATCCTGGCTGTTGGAAAGTGCAGGCCCCCAGTTGGGGCCACTGTTGCAACTGAACAGGGCTTTATGGACGTGAGTTTGAGCACCATTTCTAGCTGGCTTCACCTAATTTTCTGTTCTTTACTTTTTCCTTGCTTCTATTTTCACAACCTGTTTTTCATTTGCTGAACGTATTTCTATATATCACCTATATTTGAGGATGACCTAACATGGGTTTACTAGTTTCCTTCACATATCGTTATTATATTTTGAGAAATATTGACCAGTAAAAACATATGAGTTTGCAAAATAGTGAATCATGCTCTACAAGTTCTGTTGCCTCAAGTTTTTACTTACACATAAGCTTTCTCCATGGCAAGGTTAACCAGGAAGACAATTTAAAGTAAGTCATGGCTCTCAGTAGAACAGATGTTCTCACAAAAGTTCGAATTCTTAAATGTTAGTCTTTATGAATAGGGCTTGTTGTGCCTACTCAGAAATCACCTTCTGCAAATCACCTAACCTTGAAATGGATCATAGTATTACTGGGGACACAAAAAAATATTGCAAATTGGTAAATGAAGTGTGACAACATAGTACTTTTATGTCCTCAGTAAGGACTTTATGTACAACAAAAGCTCAAATCAATTTGATAGCTTTATTTTAAGAGTCCACCTCCAGGCCAAACTCTTTGCCCTTAGCATCTGAAGCTGAAATGAGGTAGTTTTTAAAGCACTGAAAAGTCAATGTGAATTCCCATGATTTTAGGACTGGTAATACAGCTGCCCGGAAGCAGCTGGAATCTTCAAGATCAATTATGTTTAGAGCAGAAAAAATGGAAAGAAACACAAGTGTTTCACTGGGAGATTATATGCTACAAGTTAATGTATGTGCACAATGTGATACAATTTAATGTGTGTCTCCACTTCAGTGGAGAAAGGAGGGTTTGAAGGACTATTAAAGTTTAACAATTACTTTTCTAAATTCGTGATTACATTAGTTCATTGAGAAAAAACAGATGTAAATAACTATTGAGTGTCTAGATTTGCACCTTAGTCTATTTGACCAAGTTCCTCTTCCTTCATGACTTGGATTTTCCTTTGTTTTGTCTCTTGTCAAAGCCTGGCCCAGAGCCAGGCCCTCAGAGAGAGCTGGTCCTAGCAAATCCCGTCTGACTCTCAGGGCTCTTCTCTGAAAGCTGAATGTTACCACTGACCAGTGGAAGCCTTTTTGTTTATTCTACAAAAACTACAGTAAATGAAAAGGTACGTGAAAGCACTTAGTAAAGCACTGACAAATTATCTTTAAAACATAATCTTTTTTTTTTTTTTTCGCTCTGTCGCCCAGGCTGGAGTGGTGCGATCTCAGCTCACTGCAAGCTCCGCCTCCTGGGTTCACGCCATTCTCCTGCCTCAGCCTCCCGAGTAGCTGGGACTACAGGCGCCTGCCACCGTGCCCAGCAATTTTTTTTTGTATTTTTAGTAGAGATGGGGTTTCACCGTGTTAGCCAGGATGGTCTCGATCTCCTGACCTCATGATCCGCCCGCCTTGGTCTCCCAAAGTGCTGGGATTACAGGCGTGAGCCACCGCACCCGGCCTAAAACATAATCTTTACCTTTAAATTTTTGTTCCATTTGGAATTTATCTTGTTATAAGCAGTGAGATATGAATCCAACTTTGCTTTTCCAGATGGCTACTCAGTTGTTCAACACCATTTATTAAACAATCCATCTTTCCCTACTGATTTCTGATTTGTCACCTTAGGCATGTGCTACATTTTCATATGCATTTGGGTCTGTTCCTGAACTTTCAATTCTATTCCACTCGTCTGATCTGTCATGCATGTGCCAGTTCCATACTGTTAATTATTGAGACTTCAGAGAGTGTGTGTGTATATATGTATGTATATATAATCTGTAATCTCTAGTGATATAATCCTCTCATTAGTATTATTTTTCAGAATTTCTTTGCCTATTTTTAGTTGTATATTATTCCATAAGAATTCAGAACTCGTTTAACCAGTTAAAAAAAAAAAAACAACTCTATTGGAGTTTAACTAGGAATGTGTGAAATCTGTAGGCTATCCTAAGTAAAACAGACATGCTTACAATATTGAGTTTTCCTATTCAAGAATATGGTATACATTTTTGTTTGTTCAAGTTTTCTGCATCCCTTAGATGATACTGTCTGTACATAAGTTTTGATAAGTGTATTCCTTGGTATTCTATCTTTTCTTTTCTTTCTTTTCTTTTCTTCTTCTTTTTTTTAAATTTATAATGGAGATGGGGTCTTATTATGTTGCCCAGGCTGGTCTCAAACTCCAGGGCTCAAGGAGTCCTCCCATCTCAGCCTCCCAAAGTGACAGGATTATAGGCATGAGCTGCTGTGCCTGGCTTCTGTCTTTTCTTGTTACTATTTTAAGTCAGATATTTTCTTCTAACTGGTTGTTTGGGGTATGATCTCCTTGCTTTTACCCGTGCTCTCTATAATGTGTGCTCTCCACACAGCAGCCAAAGGGAACCTTTAAAATGATGATTCAGATCAAGTAACTCCTCAAAATCCTACAATGGCATCCTATCTTTGGGGTCTTTTGTGCTTACTCTCCCCTCTACCTGGAATGCTTTTCTTCCGATAGCTGCTGGGCTTTCTTCTTCACTTTGTTCAAGTCTCTGATCAAATTGTCATCTCCTTAGAGAAGCTTTCTGTGACCACCCTTTTAAAAGTAGTCCTGATCTACTTATATCCCTTTGCCATGCTTGATTTTTTCCTTACATATCAGTGTACCTGATGTTATGATGTATCTTCATTTGTTTATTATCTGTCTCCCCCACTGAAGTATAAATTCCATGAGGGCAGGGACTCTGTTTTGTTTATTGCTACATCTCCAGCACATAGAACATAATAGTTTGGCATATATCAGTTATTCAGAAAACATTTATGATATGGAATAGGTGAACCTTCCAACCTAATGAGCTCCAGGGCTCGGATGGCTGAGCTGCAGACGATCAGCATCAGGACCGATTTCTTCTCACTGTGGTTTTTCCTAAGTTTTACCCACTTAGGACAGACTGGAAAAAAGACCACAAAGCAATTATTTGAAAAATGGCAAAACAGGGCCCACCTCCCAAGTTGAGTATTTCTTCTTTGTTGAGTGTTTAAGCAAAATAAAATACAGTGAGCATGGTTCATTATAATTACAATTATAATTCAATTTTCTGGTTATTGTAAATATTAGATTAAAATGAAGTATCATTAATTTATAACACAAAACAAACATGCCAAGTCCCTAAATGTGACTAATTTTAAAATTAAGTAAAAAAATTTGGAATATTACATTTTTGATATTTTAATTTATGTTTGATACTTCACAATGTTGATTAAATAGGAAATGAATTCTGATTTAGTCATGTTAAATTTTAAAGGGAAATTCAACATAAGATATAAAATGGAACAAACATTTAAAAACAGCAAACATTTACTAAATACCGACATGGTGCTAAGCACTTTACATAGATTTTCTTTTTAGTTCTCATAATCTAGTGAGGTTGATTCCATTATTACCTAGATTTACATTTTCTGAATTTGACGCTAAGAAAGGTTTATGAACTCAAGTTTAGTGTCATCAGAATTGCTTGTAGTTTGAAAGAAGAATGGAAACTCTCTATATCTAAACTGTTTCATTGCTGGCCATAAATAAATGACCAGTTGATATGAATAATTTAGTTATTGCTGGCTACATATAATACATATTGAAGGGCCAGACACAGTAGCTCATGCCTGTAATCTCAGCACTTTGGGAGGCAGAGAGGGAAGGATCTCTTGAGCCCAGGAGTTTGAGACCAGCCTGGGCAACATAGGAAGACTCTGTCTCTACCAAAAAAAAAAAAAAAAAAAAATTAGCTGCTTGTGGTGACATACAACTGTAGTCCCAGCTACTTGGGAGGCTGAGACAGGAGGATCGTCAGAACCCAGGAGGTTGAGGCTCCACTGAGCTATGACCAGACCACTGCACTCCAGCCTGGGAGATAGAGTGAGATCCTGTCCTTCTCCAGTCTCCCAAAAAATACATTTTGAAAAGATAGAATTAGATTGGCTTCACTATAGCCATGGTCTGAGTTCTAAACATGCAAATAGAATTTCAGAATCTCACAGATGGAACCCATATCACATAGTCCATCTTCCCTATTTTTCAGATAACAAATTAAGTCCAGGGGAGTACTCAGTGACTCATCTCAGGTCAAACAGCAAATTGGTGGGGGACCTGGGACTAGAACACCATTCTTTGGATTCCTGGAGCAACAATGGCCTAATGTGTTATAAAACAAAAACGAGACCAAAACCTAAATTTCCAAAGCCAGAGCAAAATAAGGATAAATTTAAATAGATTAAAATCAGAGTTTACTCACTTTCTTTTAGGTATGAGGAAAGACTGTGAGTCAAATCATTGGCCTTGAGGAAACAGGAGTCTAGAAATATGATAAACATGGTATACAGAGAATTTTGTAAATGCACACACACAATCAAAATAGATTATATGTGAGTTATGAGTGATGTATAAGGTTGTAAAATATTAGTGAATTGGGGCCCATTATATATCTTAAAGTGTTGCCTATATTTAAATAACAGCAGCAGCAACAAGTAAACTTTTAACCTGTCACGGAGCTGCCCGTAATTTCTTAGAGCAGTGAAATAGGAGCTTCTTATATCACTCAGCAGATTAATGAAGCACCTTTATTTTCCAAATCCATAAAATGGGGACTACACAAATGCAAAATGAAGTGGCTAACAAATCTATGTAAAGATGTTCAAACTCACTAGTTATCAGAGAAGTGCATGTTAATATAATGAGATCACACTTTACACACTCATTAGAATGGCAACTATTAGCAAGATGTATAATACCAAGTGTTGTTGAGAATGCAAAGTGATGGAAACTCTTGTGAACTGTAAGTGGAAGTGTAAACTGGTATAGATATTCTGGAAAGTAATAATGCTAATATGTATATACCCTATAATTCTATCACTTCAACTCAAAGTAAATAATAGAAAGAAATTCTTGCGTGGTCTATTAAGGTACACACACAAGGATATGCATCTTGGCATTATTTGTGATACCAGGGTGCTTGAGGCAACCTAAGTGTCCATACCTGGGAAAATGGATGAGTATATGTGACAGATGGAAACGCTGGAATATTATGTTGCATTTAGAAGCAATGAACTAGACATGCATAAAACTACAGAGTCCTATCTGAAAAAAGTGTCAAATGAAGAAAGAAACAGAATGAAAGCATTAGCACAGAGCCATTTTAGATACACTTTAATATGTATATACATACACAGGATGACATATTTTATAAGAATATATATATATATATTTTAAAATGCCTATCATATGAAAATAGAGTTTGGATTAGGGAAGAATGGTAATAATGTCTCAAAATACAACACGACATAACAATACAATAAAAAACAATATAACACATTAAAATAAAACAGGGGCTGGACTGACCAAAATGAAATTTATGTTGTGATCCAGCACATATAACTCATTAAGTGAGTAATTCAAAGTTGTTTTCTCCTCTATTGTTGTGGAGCCTTTGGTGGTCTTTATAATGTCCCAAGTCTGGATATGATCAGACTTACCTGGAGAACTGAAGGTACAGATTCCTGGGATGGAGTCTCTTTTGCATAGTGAATTAGAATCTCTTGAGGATGGGCCTGGGGATCTGATGTTTAAGTTCCTGGGTGATTCAGTTGCAGCTAGCCTATAGGCATTTAGGAATCACTAATCTAAACCACACTGCAGCTCTCAGGAGACAGCAGAGAGGTTAATTAGCTCCGGGTGACTCCAGCCTTGAAATCCTAATTCAGTGCCCGTGTGTGTGACATTAACAATGTACAGTGCACAATATTAATTGAAAAGACATGTTCGTGCCCTACAGACACAAACAACCTCAAATCAAAACCAAGTTAGAAGCTCGACAAACTAAATAGGAACAATATGTTATTATTTATATCTACTTTATATGTGTATATATAAGGGTATTTATGTCCCTCCTTGAGCCTATTCTAAATAACCCACTGTATCTCCTTCCCCACATCTAGCTTAAATCTCCTCTCTGTTCTTGGTCTCATCAGTGTAGTGACCAGTGCCTGTTCTCCCAAACCTTCTTCTGATGTCTCAGTTTATTGTGTCTTAAATGGCCTAATTTTTTAAACTGAAAATAAAAACCTGTCCTTTTTGGTTATAACATTATTTCAAACATATTTTCTTTCCTCCCCAACCAACCCATGACCACACATTCTTGCCTAAGTATATTACTGAACTCTAATAAAACAATAATATCAAACAAATTCACTATGGAACTCAAATGACTCCTTAAAAGTTTCTTCTGAGCTTTGACTCCCTGTAACTCTAGAGAGGAGCAAGGTTTATGATGTTCCATGAGGTTACAGAACAGCAGTGGTCCCACTGCTCACAAATCCTTCGTAAGTTCAGTTGCTCTAACAAAGAACTAGAATGGAAAACTGACCATTGAGTCACAGTAAAAATCAAACTTCAGTTAAAGCTTCAAAAGTGGTTTTGTTAGAATAGTTCCTGTGGTAGTGCAGTCAGGACACAGTTTTCACAGCAGAGGCAGTGGTGTGCTGAGAAGAGTGGATTCTAACTGCTGTTGGAACTGTCTGGGCTTAGTAAGTCTAAAAGTCCAGATCCTGCTCATGTGCAAATGCACTCCTTCAATTCCCTAAAGGGTAATCTCCTTGGAAAACAAACAGACAGGGCACTCATGTCTCCAGACCCAATGTGTGTTTTTAAAAAAGGATATCACAAAAGAATTATAAAAATTCAGGGAACAGATTGTTTTTCAGCTTCTCAAGCTTCTAGAAAGCATAAAATTGTAATGGAAAAAGGAAATCAAGCCACCCTCTACTTTTTCCAAAAGCAATATTAGATATCCCTAGTAGTCTATAAATAGCTCATCTGAAGCAGTTGTACCCAAACTTTTTATGGTTTGATTTTATGACAACATCTATTTCTCCCATGCCTGCCTAAAAGAGTTAAAGGATGCATCATAATTTTGAAATTAATTAAAAGTAGTTGTTTACGCTGAGTGTGGTGGCACATGGCTATATTCCCAGCTACTCAGGAGGCTGAGGTGAGAGGATCCACTTAAGCCCAGGAGTTCGAGGCTGCAGTGAACTACGAGGGTGCCACTGCACTCCAACCTGGACGAGACAACAAGACACTGTCTCTAAAATAAATACATATTTTTTTAAAATTAGCTGTTTACATCTTGCAGTATCTTTTAGCTTAATTATAAATACACCAAGGCAGAGGATCTAAAACTCTAGTAGGCTGAAGAATCCCTTAGGGCAAAGTGTCAGCCTTGCAAAACATGCAGAATTTTGTTCCTACCTTTTGATAGTTTGCTTGAAAGAGTCTGGCCTGCAACCCAAAATACTATTCTAAAAACCATGACTAGAAATCCATGATAAGAGCAACAACAAAACTAAATTACTTATTAAGGCTAAAGCTCTTGTCTATAAGAGTTGAGTAAATCAGTGTTTCACAACTATACTTTTAAATGTGTGCTTTAACTTCTATCCTCATGACGAATTCCTACTCGTTGAATAGTCTGTTAAAAAAATGCACACCCAACAATTAGCCTTTTGAAAAAAAAAATACTATCACAAATCTTAGTATTAGATTTGAAAAAGACTGTTTAGCATCCAGTAAGGATATAATCTATCAGCTAAAACTATTTGATGTAATCTATCAGTTAAAACTATTAGATTGAGGAAAGAAGTATTATGTTTCCTTTTTTTTTTTTTTTTTTTTGAGATGGAGTCTCACTCTGTTCCCCAGGCTGGAGTGCAATGGTGCGATCTTGGCTCACTGTAACCTCGGCCTCCCGGGTTCAAGTGATTCTTCTGCGTCAGCCTCCCAAGTAGGTGGGATTACAGGTGTGTGCTACCACGCCCAGCTAATTTTTGTATTTTAAGTAGAGATGGGTTTCACTATGTTGGCCAGGCTGGTCTCGAACTCTTGACCTCAAGTGATCCACCCGCCTCAGCCTCCCAGAGTGCTCAGATTATAGGCGTGAGCCACTATGCCCAGCCTGAAAATATGTCTCTTTAAACAATTATTATTATTATTATTTTTAATAGTGATGACTTCTCACTATATTGCCCAGGCTGGTTTCAAACACCCAGGCTCAAGCGATCCTCTAGCCTCGGCCTCCCAAAGTGCCGGGATTACAGGCATGAGCCACCAACACCCGCCGGAAAATATGTTAATTGACTGCCTGAGACACCTAACCATAATAGACAGTTATGTTTTGCTCCTTGTCATTAGGAAAATTGAAGCTTGGCTATACCTGGCAGGTTCAGTTCTTCTAATTCAATCACCGAGCGTCTGCTGCTATAATAGTCCTTCATCAGCTTCTGTAGGTCTTCAGGTAACCCTGGTTTTGGTTCTGATTTTGCAAGAACATCAGTAATTTTCTTCTAAGATATGAGAAGGAAGAAAAATGGGAGGACATACTTTAAAATGGCATTTGGTTGGAATAGGTTAATTCCTCTGGCATTTAAACTGCACATAGCTTTTGATGTTAGCCAAGTGTGAATGTGGGTGTTAATAAACACATTTGAGAAAATTCACTAAATACTTCTTGGATATAACTATTGCTTTGAAAAATGAAAAAAATGATCTAGAAAGCTTCCTGCAACTCTTGGTCTATGACTTCCAGGAGAACTACGTTTTTGCAGGCGTCTCCATACTAGGGTATTATTTTCTGTTAAAAGTAAAGAAATCTCATTGCTATGGAAAGCTCTCTTTTAGCCCTAGATGATTTATATTCCTGTAGGATTAGAATTTTAAGAATTTCTTGCCTAACCTGCTTTGTGAGGTGCTGAGTCTTAGTTTGGATTTCTGGCATTAGTGTAAAACCTACAGTAGGAATCTGAGCATAGGAGCCTACTGAGGAGGGGACTTAACACCCTTGATTCTCAGGTCTTGGATAGCTGACAGTATTAAAGTGGCCCTATGGAAAGTAGAAAAAAATATTACAGGAAATACTTTCCAACATCGATTTTGATTTGGATTCATTTGTGTAGCATGTATTGAATGCCTGCAGTGTAGTAGAAACCCACAATCATTCATTTATTTCCATCATAAGCTTCCCTTCTCACTTTCTTCTCATGTTCCATCAAAGATCCAGAAGGAGCGTTCCCCACCCCTGATCCCAACATTTTCCCCTCCTTCTACAATATCCTCGTTTCTATACACTTGTCAAGAATGGTCAAGGCTCTGTCAAAGGAATTAACTTTTAAAAATATGTCATCAGTGAGCACATTTTAGCATGACCTCAGTCAAGGATAAACTATCTAGCTAGAGTTTTGACCTTGAGCCACCAAGAACTTAACACTCCTGAAGGCCATTAGTGTACAAATTATCAAAGAGAAGTTAAAGTCACTTCTTTAAGGACTTGCCAAACCTCAGCCAATTTGGCATCTCCCATCTTGCTGTTTGACCATTTGTAAGAAAAGAAAACATATGCACACACACTCTTAGTTTTCTAAAAGCTTGCTGTTAAGTAATTGGTTTGAGTCCATCTTCTTTCCTCTAATCCCAATCGTATTTCCTCGGCTGACTTCAGGAGTAGACCCCTCTTGGCAGGGAGAGAATTACACCGCTGTTTTCACAACTGTGGGAGAAGGTCATAGCTAACCATACTTTCTCCAAGGCTGAGCCATAAAAAAGTTTGTATAGGAGAAAGTTTTTCCTATGCTCACTGGCAAATATCAAAATGCAAGAGGAGGGGAGCTTTTTTGACTTAATTTATGGTTCCAAATTAGTCAGAAGTGCCTCATACTACCTTCATCTGCTTATTATTTTCTTTTTAGTCATACTTTAAGGTATAAGGTCTTCAAATCTGGAATGAGTACAAAAAGGAGGTTGATACATTTTTTTCATGGACAGAGCCAGAAGGGCTGGGGGAGGATAGCTCTGGACTCCTTCTAGAATTAGAAACCTATGTCTGACATCTGACCACACTGAAAACATAGGGTGGGTAACAAAGATATTTGGCACTCCACAAGACCGAAATAGGAGTCAGAAGAATTTATTCTTAGCTCCAACAGAAACACTTACTAGTAGTGACCTTCGGAAAGTCACCAAACCTCAAGGAGTCTTACAATGTCTGCATCTCTTAGGTGGGGATTACAATAGTTGCCTCATGGAAGTGTGACATATAAAAATGTGATGGAAACCATGTGGGGCCACACAAATTTAAGAAATTATTAATATTACCTTTCTCCTCTTCCTGGTCTTGGTGGTATTCTCTTTTCTTTCCTTTGGTTGTATCAAAAAACATTCTTTAGGCTATTAAGAAATACAAATGAGAACATTTTAATCTTTTCATGATAAAGTGTCAATTAGTGGTATGAACCCCAAAGTACTTTCTGCCATGCATGTATTCTTCAGAGTATCTTGGTAATATTCTACAGAAAGAGAGATGCTGGAAGATCTACTGTAGGTTACTATGCAGCGGCTGGGGTGAGAGAATTTGAGAAAGTCAAAGTGCAGATGACTTAAGACTGGAAAATCTTTGAACAAAGATATATGTGTGAGTGAGTATATATGTGTGCTTGGTGTGGAAGTGCAGGGTATTGGAGATTGAAGACAGTGACTGAGCTTGTATAATACTGCAGAAATCGATGTGATTAAAATTAAGATGTGGTAAGACAGTCTTTGACTAGAGTGACTAGGGTTTTCCATGAACTAGCTGTGTGTGAGCCTACATTTCCAAGTCACTGGTTTATTGGTTTGTATTATTCATTCCTTTCCTCTTTTCAATAAGCATAGAAAATCCAAAGTGGGATATATTAACTTACGTTTTTATAAACCAGCTGCATCAAATGCCTTTACTATAATGACTACAAAATGAATGTCTTTGCTACTAGTCTGATAGCAGTCTCAGCACCACAGTGTCTAGAGTAATCTGTTCTGCCTGTTGCCTTGACCCCTGAGTACCCGATACAGTTTAGTGCTATTTTTACCCTGAGGGTTTTTTTCTAATGTAGAAAAACAGGAAATTTGGACTAAGACCTTGATTTATAAAATAGAATGCCCCAGATTCCATATTTATTAATCATAAGCAGGAGTATAAAATGTTTCCTGTGCTGGACCTTTTATGCAACATTGTCAAACAAGTTGCCAAGTAAGATATAAAATGTAAGTGAAAACTTATTCTGAGTTTTCCTTGATTAACTTTCCATTCCAACCACAGAATATGCAGTTTAAACTGATAAGCTACTAACTGAAGCAATCCTGTCTCCACTGGCTCTGTTAAAATGATTACAGATGAATCTTTCTATGAAAGCTTGCAGACAGCCTGCAGATTGAGAATGTCTATGGCCTGAAGTCAGAGAGAAAGATATAATACTACATAATTTCTTCAAGACATGGGGCCAAAGACCAGCAGTTTCAAGATTCGCTTTTAGTTATTACAGAAATAGATTTAAAAAGTTCAGGATTAAAGTGACATGGGAAATCTTGAAATTTTAGTTTCCTTTCAGATAAAACAAAAAAACCTGCAAAGAGCAATTGCATCATAGCTAAAGAAAAGAGAGATATGGCTTCTTTTATTTAGAAAGTTAAACTGTCTTGTGGATGTTGATACATGCCAATTTGATGCTGGTACATGCCAATTAGCAACTGTGCCAAGGCCACTAATATGTCACAGAAGCTGCCAGATGGCCATAAGAGTACAATTACAAACCAGGCCAGTGCTCAGCTCATGTTCCTAAGGCAAAGGCCGGGATATGATTAGCAGATCCCTTAAACTATACTGTATTATCTCCACCAGTATCAAGGTTTTTGGGAAGCGTATTTAGAAACCTGTTTCATCTTCTTATTTAGCGTATGGAGGTGTTCTCGAGGAACCCAGTTTAGTGTACTGGTTGTATTTGTGCTAGGTTTACAAAGCCAATGAACTAAAACATGACATAAATCTAGAAATAAGCTCAATTTTAAGAATATGGACTCTTTAATTCTGGGAGAAAAAACAAAAATGTAATTCTGAATCATGCAAAGGAAAAAGAAACATGCTCGATGAACTGCTTTAGCCATGATATTGCTTCAGGTAAATGACAGGTTCAAATTCTTACATCATCCTAAAGGAAATGCAAAATAATCTTTGGTTTTGGAGACTAGTTACTTTAGCTGGCTGTGGTAGGGTGCCAGTGAAGAGGCCAATTTTATGGGGTCAATTTCCATAGAGGTAAGATGACTTTATGGAGAAATTCAAATCCACAGTATTGAAAATTCTTACATTTAGTTAACTGCCTTATGAATGCTGCTGTTTACCCTCAGGGAGGCTGGGTAGGAAGAATCCAGCCAAGCCACTAAGCATTTCTGGAAATCAATTCCAAAACTGTGTGACTTTGACAGTTGATAAGCAATGTCATTTCTTTATATGAAATGTAGCAATTTTAAATACATAGTCTGAAGAATCACACTCCCCTAAAAAAAAATGTGGCTTTTAAGGGAAGCAACTAGAGCATATTTTCAATTCCTTAAAGTATCAAAAATTACTTTAAGAATGATTCTCCTGGTTAAACATGGCAAATGAACCTCAAAATGCCAGTAAACTGAAAATACAGGGCATTGAAAAGGACCTGTTGAGCAGGATCTATATAAAACCCAAGAAACCAGGAGAAAGAACAACAGTAATGGAGAGATTTCAACAACTTTTTGGAAAATGGAAAGTGGCTGGAGCTGGAGAAAAGTGACTTGGCACAGAGGGAAAGCTAGCATCTGGGCTTCAGAAGGGGTAGAAGCTAACAATAAGTGAGTCTTTGACTCACTGAACTCTGAGAAGGTCCAGTATTTGGAGGCACAAAGTACTACAGAGAGTGAAGGGTTAAAAAGAAAGAGATTGGCTGAAAGTTTATATTTAGAATGATTAGCTACCCCCGTCCCCTACTAGGTGGTATCTCCTACCCTGGTAGCCAAGCAACTATCCCATTACTGCTTCCTTTCACCTTGCCTGTCCTGCCAGCCAACTGGAGATCTATTCTCTTAAGAGATCAAGAGGATCAAGGCTGGGCCAGGGGAGAAAGGGCAGAGGCAGAGGCTTGTCTCCATTTCCTGCCCCTATTCCATGCTTATATATTGCAGGCAGGAGACTACTGAATGCCTCTTCGGAAAAATGTAATGGCCTAAAAGAAATACCATCAGAGAGTGACATTTGGGAGTTCCATAGTAAAAAATCCATCTTGTTATCCTATCACCCTACCATGAATACACTAATCGACAAACCCCACTCATCAATGTTTCAGTGTATCTCTCTTCAATAAGAATGGATAGCTAAGATTCATCAGTCATCTAAGGAAAGTCTCCAACACAAGAGCAAATAAATAACAAAAAGAAAAATGAACCTAGAGAAAAGTGGGATGGTACCTCAAAATAATGATACTTAATATCCTCAGAGAGATAAGGGAAGATTTTGCAACTATGAAACAAGAACAAGATGCTGTAAAAATGGGAAAGACAGTTAAGCATTAAAACAAATAAGAAAGGTGGGATAAAAATATACGAGGAGCCGGGTGCGGTGGCTCAAGCCTGTAATCCCAGCACTTTGGGAGGCCGAGACGGGTGGATCACGAGGTCAGGAGATCGAGACCATCCTGGCT